GCACTCAGTGAAGGACCACACTAGCCCATGCCACCCTGGATAGAAAGCTCCCTCCCCATTGCTAAGATCTGGCAAGTGGGAAATAACTTTGTCTTATTTTTATCATAGCTGTCAGTCTCCAAGCTTTGACAGATTCCTGAGAGCATAGGATCAGAATATCCACATTACAAATTCCCCCTTGGACTCCTCTTATATCTCAGCGCTATCTTTGTGATGATTCCTTCCTGGACCAGGCTCTTTGGTGGGCCGTTTCCGCAGTCCAGGCAGGTCTGAATTCAAATATAGACCTCTGCGGTATTTTCACGCTCTGTTGTATCATTTAATGACAAGCTGGGACAGGTTAAAGAGGATAGGAAACTTGCTTATGTTTCTACTCCTGGGAAGACGATGTCCACATCAGAGAGACAAATTTAGAAAGAAAGCGTTTCACTGCTACGTACCCCTTGCTGCTCACCCCTCTCTTGGCTTCCATGCCCTCACTCTGTCTCCTTGTTGTCCTCCACCCACCACTAACATCATGGTGTTCCCCATGTTTCTGTCCATAACTCTCCATCTCCTTTCAAATGCTCTTCCTGAAAAGTCTTAATCACTCCTATGGAATAAATTGCCACTTATTTGCTAATGACTCCCAGATTTCTAGGTCCTCCCCAGACTCTAGGTCCATATCCATCTATACACCCAGCCACCTCCTAGTCATTCTACTTGAGTGTCTACCTTGGGGTCTCATAGCCTATCACAAAGTCATGCTTTCTCTCCAAGCTGGCTGAGCCATCCTCTATTAAATGACCCTACCCTCCACCCAGTGGTCTTTTCTCTTGCCTTCCACATCTCATCAGCTACTAAGATCTGTATCTCATTACCCCTTCAGCCTATCCCATAATTCACCCCACACTCACAGCCCTAGTCCATGTCTTGTCCCCACCACCCCTCAGCCTTCTCACTGCTCCTTAAATGCCCATCTCAGGCCTGCCCTCCTCTATGATTTCTCTCCATAGAATGAGTTGGTCCCTTAAAAAAAAAAGTATTTTTCCTCATTTCCATTTTGAGTATAACTATCATATTGTGTATCTCCTACCCATCATATTACGTTTTACTTTGTCCAGCATGTTATTTTGTGTCTTCGACAGCAAACATAATGCCTGTCACTCAAAAACGTTTACTGAATGAAAGGATAACTTTTGGGAGGGAGGTGTTCAATTGAAATTTTTCTTATTTTACCACTAGATCATTGTTGCTTTTGTCTCTCTGTATAATCCGTCATTCTAAACAATGACAAGGAGCCAAAACTAACTGTCTCAAAGGAGAAAGCAAACAAGAGCAGCAGAGTGTGGCAAGCACCAGGATGGTAGTTTTCTCTCCTAGGGTAAGCGGTAAGCAGCAGGGTCTCTGAGGAAAGCCCAGTATCATAGCGGGTTCACACAATGTCCTTTTGATCTAGATGGTAGTGACATGATGATTTACTTTATAGTTATTTGTTAACATTATACACCCTGTGCACCTTTCTATATGGCTGTTATATTTAACAAAAATTAAATGTTAACCCATCATTATTCAATCAATAATCTGTGAAGAGAATTAAGAATATAGTTCTATTTATAATAGTATAAAAAAGGAATAAGATACTTGGAATTAACCGCATCAAGGAGGCAAAAGTCTTACACTGAAAACTACAAAATGTTGTAGAAAGAAGACACCAATAAATGGAAAGACATTCATGTGAATGGACTGAGAGATTTCGTATTGTTAAGATGCCAATACTTTCCAAGGTGATGTACAGATTCAGTGTACTCCCTATCAAAATTCCACTGGTGTCTTTTGCGGAGATAGGGAAATGCATCCTAAAATTCATCTGGCATCTCAAGGGACCTAGAATAGCCAAAACCCTCAAAAAATAACAGTTGGAGGTTGCACACTTCTTGATTTCCAAACTTATTACAAAGCTATAGTTATCAAAATAGTGTGGCACTGACATAAAGACAGACATATAGACCGACAGAAAAGAACAAAGGGCCCAGGAGTAAACCCTAGCATATGTGGTCACATGATTTTCATCAAGGACACCAAGATCATTTAATGAGCAAAGGGCAATCTTTTCAACAAATGGTGTTGGGAAAACTGGATATCCCCATCAAAAGAGTGAAATTGGACCTTACACTATGTACAGAATTAACTCCAACTTGATCAAAGACCTAAATGTAAGAACTAAAACTGTACAACTCCTTTTCCTAGAAGAAAATTTAGGGGAAGAACTTCATTGGATCAGTCAATCACTTGTTGGATATGACACCAAAAGGACAAGCAACAAAAAGTAAAAACAGATACACTGGACTGCATCAGAATTTAAAACAGCAATGGTGAACATAATCAACAGAGTGAAAAGAAATGGGAAAAAGTGCAGATGGTCTCCACTAAGGAGTTAATATCCAGCATATACTCAGAACCCCTAGAGCCCCACAACAGAAGAGCAGACAGCCCTATTTTACAAGGGGCAGAACTTTGAATAGACATTTCTCCAAAGAAGGTTTATAAAAAGCCAACAAACACATGAAATGATGCTCAACATTAGTACAACAGTGGTTGCCAGGGGTTGGGGGTACAGGGTAATGGGGAGTTGGTTAATGGGTGTACAGTTTCAGTTTCACAAGATGAATGAGCTCCAGAGATTGGCTGCATAACAAGGTAAATGTACTTAACACTATTGAACTATATACTTAAAAATACTTAAGATTGTATGCTTTATGTATATTTTACCACAGATAAAATTTTAAATAGTTACTAATAAAGGTATCCTAAGTTTCAAAGTGGATCACAGACCTATATGTAAATTAAAACTATAAAATTTTTACATGAAAACAAGAATAAATTTCTGTAAGTTTGAATTAGGTAATGATTTTTTTTAGATATACCAAGAGGAAAAAGATAAATTGGAATTTATCAAAATAATTGTGCTTCAAAAGACAGCAAGCATCAAGAGAGTGAAGACAGATCACCTTTGGGAGAAAAACATATGCCGATCATTTGTCTTTAAAGAACTTGTATACACAATATATAAAGTCTTCTTATAACACAGTAATAAAAAGACAGCTTGGAGCACCTGGGTGCTCAGAGGTTGACCATATGCCTTTGGCTCAGGTCCTGGGCCTGGGGTCCTGGCATCGAGTCTCCCATAAGGCTCCTTGCAAGGAGCCTGCTTCCTTCTCTGCCTATGTCTCTGCCTCTCTGTGTCTCTCATGAATAAATAAAATCTTTAAAAAACTCAATTGAAAAGTGGACAAAGGACTTGAATAGACATTTCTCCAAAGATCTACATAAGGCCAGAAAGCACATGGAAGCATGTTCAACATCAGTAGCCATTAGTGAAATGCTGATCAAAATCCCAATCAGATACCAGGTCATACCTAGTAGAATGTTTATAATCAAACAGATGAAAAACAACTGTTGCTGATGTGGACAAATTAAAATCCTCATGTTGTTGGTGGGAATGTAAAATGATGTAGTCACTGTGGAAAAGTTTGGCAGTTCATCAGGATGCTAAACATGGAGTTGTTATACCGTTGTTAGGTGTATACCCTGGAGAAATGAAACATATCCATGCAAAACTTGTTCGTGAATGTTTGTAGCATACTCTTAATACCCCAAAAGTGCAAACAACTCAAAGTCCCTCAACTGATAAATAAAATAGATCCATAAAATATGGCATATCTGTACTATGGAATTAGTATTCAGCAATAAAAAGGAACGGACAGATGCTATGTGTGGATGAAAATTGAAAACACGGTAAGTAAAAGCCAGTCACAAAAGGCCACATATAATTCCATTTTTGTGAAACGTCCAGAATGTGCAAATCTATAGACACAGAAAGTGTATTAACTGTTGCTGGGAACTGGAGGGAAAGGAGGGATGGGAGGAGTAACTGCTAATGGATATGGGTTTCCCTTGAGAATGTTCTGGAATTAGTGGTGATGGTTGCACAAACTTGTAACTATACTAAAAAAAAATTGTATGCTGTAAGTGTGAATCTTATGGAATGTGAATTTCTCCAAATGAAGCTGTCAATAAAGCTATTACTAAAAACAGAGGGTTCTATAAAATAAATTTAGTGTTTCTTACCAAAGTTCTTTTAATAAAAGTTGGAGCACTTAAATAGATATACAAGAGTTACTGGGGGAAAAAAATCCCCACAACAACAACCCATCATTTTCCCTTTCCCAGTGAGAAGCAGTATACATACACACACACACACACACACACACACACACACACACGAGCCCAGTGACACTGCAACAAGGACCAGTGTGCAGTCCTCACTTTAGGTGAACCTTTTAAAAAAGCAATTGAGCTACAGAACACCTTGACTGCTTATACTCCAAAGAACCGTGGCTGTAATGAAGTATAGTGTCTTCATTATTCTTCAGTACTGAAGAGAGAGGTGAAACAATCATATTGGACTCAATTGTATTAAATGATCAGAATAAAATTACTGTGATTCTAAACTTTTTCAAGCATTTCCTGGTTTTAACTCCTGCTTTGACTATGAACATCTATTGTTTCAGTTTGCTCTGAATCCTTTCTTTTCAGGATGAGGCCCACCACTTATCCAATGCGATTCTGTTGGGAGTTACTACAGTGCATAAGACCCAAGCCGGCCAACATCATGGGGCCCTCATCCCTTTTTCCACAGGGACTGGTCTGATTCAAGGGTGAACCAGGGAAGACAATTGTCCTTTTGTAGGATTTGATTAGTGAACCCTAGAAAAGGAGGTTAGCTCTCTTATTTTTGGATCACACGTCTTGAGGTACACTTTGGGCTGCCTGGTCTCTTTCCCATTATGTAGAGAAGGGACCAAGCAAAAATTGAAGCCAGAAACAAAAGTCACAAGATGGAGGCCAAGAGCCCTGGCAACATAACTAGAGGTTTGCATCCAGCTATGCCTACTGTTTGATATAAAGTTTTGAGGTTATTTAGTGAGTCCATGCAAATGAAACATTTCTTCTCCAAGGAATCAAACACAAATTTATTTCAGAACCATATAGGACAGATTGAGTAAAAGAAAGCTTTAGCTTTATCCTAAACTTTCCCGATAGACATTTTCTCCCCCGACTGCATGTTATCAATTTTCACAGTCCCATCAGTGGCCTTCGTAATATTCAAAAGGATGTGCAAATGTGTCATTTGGTTGAAGAATCAAGTTGGAAAATAACAATCTTTTCACTTTTTATGCTTTCAAAAAATTCTCAAACAGTATGATGCTCCCAGCTCATAGCTGTTCAATTAGATTTTTCCTTGAAAAGTTAACTTGGAGCAAGAGAATCATTTAGCTTATACATATTCAAAAACAGAACTCATCCATTTTCTCCATTGTTCATGGAGGGAAAAACTGGACCATCCCACTAGATACAGCAAAAAGTCTGTCTCCTATTTGGGCTTTTCTTTTGTAAGTGACTGGAGAAAACTTGTTCTCATTTTGGCTTCATCATGCTAGCATTCAATATCCTTTTCTTCCTCGGAATCTGGATCTGGCATCCAACTGAAAACAAATGTACAGTTAAATCAATTTTGTACAACACAATTAAACACAGCTTTGGTAAGGGGTCTCACTACATGACAGAAGTAAACCAGTTTCCAGCACAGTCAAAAAGGCAACTGTCAGAGCTACCAAAGGAAAAAAATAATAATAAAGATGACATTAAAAAGAAAAGTTCCATTTAAGGTCCCAATAAGGATTTTCTTCTTAAGTAGAATCCAAATTACACTTATGTCTTTCTCTGAACTACACTCAACATGTGTTCTAGCAAACTCAACTTTTTAATTCAGTTTTGCTTGGGTTAAGTTCAAATGTATTTGAAATTTTTAAATATGAAATAACAGCTATCTGGGGATTAAAAGGATTTAGTCATAGGATGATTGCATGTGCTTTGACTTACACCTCACAGTGCTGCCTCCTTGAAGGGTGGTAGGCTAGGTAGAGGGTTTCAAAGTCAATAAACAAGGCAGATTTGCATCTTGGAGGGCTAATAGTGAATGAGTCTTGGACAAAGGCTGTAAGAATCTATTAATCTGCTCAAATGTTTCCTGGACCACTCTTTTCAGTATCAGAGTACAAGTAATAGGTAAATAATATTACCTAATCCTTTTTTTCTGAATGATCTCACTGCAACCTATCTGTAATTAGTAAGTCATTCCATATTTAATTATGTATAGCTAATTTTAGCATAAGCTTTTCAAAAGCTTTACTTACCATTGATCTTTTACATTCAAAAAATGAGTATTTCAGAGCTTTGCAGTTTCCTTCCTTCAGACACTGTCGAGGGGATTTTCCTTCCTAGGACACAGAATACAGTATAAATATCTGGGAAATTTCCTCACAAAGCACAAAATCACTATCCTTTTGAAAGTAGTGCTTTTTGAAAAAAATTTAAAAATAGTAAATTATATGAGAAAATGCAGTTCATTTTGACTCGATGTTTGGGAAGAACAGGATAGAATAAAAAGATGTATCATAATTCTGGAGCACTTTGAGGGTGCCCTTGAGTTCTTGAAAACACTGGTGTCCATGGGATACTTTTCTTTAAAATGTTTATATAAAAAAAAAATCTCAAAACTAGTATTTTTTAGCTCCTTACAGGTAAGAAAGAGTAAAGGTGAAAGTAGTAATGGGATTTCTTAAGTGTTTTTAAATTTTTTACACTCCAGAATTTTTCAAGACAGAACAAAGTAGTGTGTGTGTGTGTGTGTGTGTGTGTGTGTGTGTGTCAGATGAGAGAGAGTGTGTGCACGTGCACACATGCATATGAGAAATTAGGCCTGCTGTCATGGGAAATGGGAGGGTTTGTTCTGGAAGGTCCCATCAAGTAACTTTAAAGCCTCTAGTTACATCCTTTTAATGCATGCAGTTTTACCTCCAACAGATCTCTGCACATTCCCACCCCAACGCCTGCAAAAGTCAAGCTCTCTAGTCTGAGAAGCACAACCACGTAGACGTGGAAGAGCAAAGGGAGATGTTAACAGAATTTATATATGTCTGTGAGAGGAGATCTGCCTGGGCCTGATGTGAAATGAACTCTTTAAGCAGTGAAAGTTGAAAAGATAGGATACTGCTACAAGAATATTCACAAAAGATATACTTATTTCTGATTCTTAAAATGAGACTTTTTAACCTGTAACTTAAAAATCAGACATGACAAAGCAACAACTGCAAAACTAGGTAAGAGCAAAAATTTAGTAGAATTTTTTTGAAGGTAAACATGGAATAAAAATTTTAATACTACCTTTTCATGATCTTAAAATATTCTGAACAAATACACTGTTGTATTCATAACACAAAGGCATTTAAAGACGTTGGAACATAGAAGCATCTACAAATAATAAACTTCACAATTCAAAGAGGCAAGATTAAAATTGAATTGCAGCAAAATTTCTTTTTGGATGCCCTATCCTGCTAAGTTGTCTATTAATAAACTAAGCCCTAACTTATTAAAAAAAACTCAGAATGGTCCTAAATCAGTTAATGGGAGGTTAAAAAATAAGTACTAGATATTCCCACCTAGATAGAGCTTTTATTTTTTTTTAGTTTTCCTTGCCTAGACCCGGCTTTTTTTTTTTTTTTAAGATTTTATTTATTCATGAGAGATACAGAAAGGGGGCAGAGACATAGTCAAAGGGAGAAGCAGGCTCCCCACAGGGAGCCAAATGCAAGACTCAATCCCAGGACCCCAGAATCATGCCTGAGCCAAAGGCAGATGCTCAACCACTGAGCCACCCAGGTGCCCCTAGACCAGGCTTTTACAACCAGGTAGCAGAAAAGATGTATGTGTACAAATGCTAACTGCCAGTGTGGGCCTGTCACAAAGCAGGAGAGCCATAGGGATAACAGAGGTGCTAAAGGGGTTCTGTTAATGTAAATATATAGAAAACACCTGGAAAAAGTAGACCAAACTTACATTTTCTGAATTACCTGAGGTTTAATGACATCAAAATGTGATATGCAATTTGTGAAGGAAAAAAATCAAAACCTTAACATTATTATTTCCATTAAAGAAATAAACCCATACTGCTTATAAACATTAGCCTTCTGCAGTCCTTGACAGTATAAAGGAAAATGATGAAACCGTCCTACTCAAGTTGAGTTCCAGTGTAAAATGGGTCAAACAATTTTGAGAATAAAAATGACCCTGTTCAGTGTTAATTTTAAAAGCTCAAACAGCCCTAAAGTCAGATCAGTTTAGAATTAGGTGCCCTAAAGTCAGATCAGTTTCAGTGTTAATAAAGAACCTAGCTAGAATACTTCCTACCTAAATAGAAACACTGGGTGCATTACCCAGGAAAAAGGTAACCCCAATTTCACCTGCTTTTCATCATCAAGGATTTCCCTTCAAGCAGATTTTGACACCTCAACCGCACAACTAAAACCACTTCTCCACACCTTTATTTTGCAAGTGCCAGTCACACTTCTGGTTTTTACTGTGAAAAATGCTACAGGGTACCGCATCTGTGGCATTCCTGATCCTCTGGAATCTTGCCACTTTCTAGTCTGTCTGCTTAGGTTCTAGATTTTAATGGCCACCTACACCCGTGAATCTCAAAAGTGAATCAGAACAGAGTAGCAAGCTTCCTTGCACTATGCTGGGGGAGCCCAAAATTTTGTAATGAGATGCTGTTGATGGGATATGTGTTACCCATATGAGTGAGAGTAAATAAAACTATACAAAAGACTGGAACTATAAACTGATGCTTCCCCAAACTATCTAAGATGTCATCTTTTTCATAAGCTTTTAAGCCATACTGTCAACAGCCTGCTGGGAAGATCTAAAAGAGGTCCTGGGTTAATTCATCCTCCTTCATCAAATGGCAGACTCTAGTTATCCCTTAACATTTAACTTCCTTTCTAGTGAGGCCTACGGCCGGGCTAGACTTCCCAGACACCCTAGCAACTAGGCTGGGTCACATGACTAAGTTCCAGCCAATGGAGTATGTGAGGAACTGAAATGTAAAACTTCTGGGTTGGTCTTTAAAAAGGCACGGGGCTGCACCCCTTCTTCGTTTATGATAAGATTTAGCTTCTTGTATACTGAAGTTCATACCATCCTTTCATAGGCAATCTTAGGTCATGAGTTGAGAATAATATCCTGTCTCCCATCATAGCACCTAAAACCACAAGATCAACAATGTCTAGGTTCAGGGAAGGCTGAGAGGAGCTGTCCAAGCCCTACTTATAAGCGCACACAAGAGCAAAAGAGAATTTTCTATCTTCTTTAAGGCAGTGTTATTCTGGATCTCTGTAATATGTACCTGAACCTATATCCTAGTCAATACACTCCCAAGCTCATTTGCCTTCTGAGGTCAAAATTAGTGATTCCCAAACATGGTTGTGCCCAAGAATCAACAAGGGATACTTTTATGGGTGTTGGGGTTGGAGGTACTGGAATCTATACATTTAAGCTCTCTGCCCCCATCTCCAGGTAATTCTAATGAAACCCAGAGGTCTGGGAGCTTCTTAATGGAGGCACAAAGGAAATAACTCATGACTGAGGTTTTTTGGACATAGTTTCAAACTTTTTGATCTCCCAGGAGTCATATAATCCTAAGAAGTCTATCCAAGAGATGCCTTTTGAATCTGCTTGTTCCTTGCTTTTCCTCTCCAGCCCCACTGGGGCTGACATCCTTATCATCATTACCCTGAGCTTCTCTGAGGCCTGGTATTTCCTTGACTTTCTCTCATTGCCAGCATCTATTTTGAATTCCTTCCTAGAATGAGGTCGAGCAGCTTTTTCAGTGGGTTAAAGACTGGCAAGGAGAGATTACAGCATCCATCTGTCAAAAGATCAGATTAACTTCTGTATACAAGAAGCTAAATCTTATCATAAACGAAGTGGCCACACAGGGCAGACGCAGACCTCAACAGAATGTCCCTTGGTCTTCAGAGTCCCTAGGAGGGGAGGGGTGGGCTGTAGCTGCCAGTGACACCATCTGAGAAGAGAGGATATTGTCCCAGATCTGCAAAACTCGATGTTCTGTCTCAGTACTGCCCTTTTACACTCCCCCTGAAGTTACGGTAAATTTAACACAAACTAAAAGCACTCCCATTTAAGGTACTTTTTATAATTATCATTTACTCCTAAGTGACCAACATCAATAAGGCCACAAACTTAAGTTTGTGGCATGTGTCCTGGTCATTATCTTGTCTAGTTTTCTCACTTTCTAAAGATCTAATTTCCATGCAGGAGGGAATGTGTCCCAATCATCTATGTGTCCCAAATTAGAGTTTGGCACTCAAATGTTTGCGGAATAAATTATTACAAAAATACAACTTGGGATCCTTCCTGCCCTCAGTATCTTCCTCCACTTCTAGAGTTTCTTTCCTCAGTCCCACTGTGTACTTTATTCTCTTGATTGCCATCCTCATGGCCTTCCTGATGCTGAATGTCAAGATAAATTCAGGGTCCTCACTCTGAGACACAAGGGCCTTCACACATGCCAACCTTCTTCTCAAGCCATCTGTCACATTCCCTATCCCCCAATAGAGCACTAGCTTCTCCTGGTCACATCTCCCTGACTTGCCCATGCTGTTCTTTCAGCTTCTCCCCTCAACCACCACATTCCCCACTCCTTTACTTGACAACCTACTACTCAACCTTTAAGACTCCTATCAAATGTCACCTCCTCTGTGAGAAGTTTCCAAATTCCCAAGAAAAATAAGTTGCTCTCCAGTGGACTCCCACGGGATGTTGTTCCTAAATCTAATCATCAAACAAATATTTACAAGATGCTTACACAGATGCTTATACTGTTGGAATTTAGACCCTTCCATGACTGTCCTTCCCATCAGACTGAGGTGATGTAGGGTATGACTGTAACCGATTCATCTTGGTATCACCAATGCCTGACATCATGCCTGCCACTTACCAGGCATTACTAAGAGCTGACTGTTTGCACCAATGAAGCAGTCGACTGGAAAAGCCCTGTGCAGGGAAGTGTAAAGTGTGAAGACAGGGCACCTCCGTTTCCTCATCCGTGTGAGAGGGACTAGAGAGCCTCTTAAGCCCATGACAACTCAAGTTTTAGGACAAATTGGGCAGCCAGTCCGGCTGACTGCTAAAATCAGTGAACCAAATGTAAATCCTGAATCAGCAGAAACACTGATACAGCTTTATGATGCATGTCCATTTTGGGATAGTCTTTCCCTTTGAAGAGCAGACTCTGAAATTACATCTCCAAATGCAAAAAATAATTGCACACAACTGATTGCCCTTTCATCAGGCCTTTGTAACTGGCAAAGGCACTTGCGTTTGCGTTGGGCGCTAAGCTAGAACCCAGCTTTGGACCTCAACCGTCAACTCTGGACCTCACCGCTTGCACTCTGCACTCAGGTTGAGAAGACATGATCGTAGTGAGGGGAGACTGCGGTGGAAGCAAGAGACAAAACAGTGAAGGAAAAAAAAAAATGGAGCTGCTTCGTTTACAACTTATTCAAGAAGGCACATAACTCCAACTCAGAAACGATTTCAAACCAAGAGAAAGTCAATATCTATTCAACCACAACGGAACAGAGAAAGGAGAAACTACTAGTCAATACAGCGTACCAGGTTTATGTTAATTCTCTGATAATTTAGATTCTCATTTTCTAGCACGCAGGAAACCGGCCTTATTCTCCTTTATACTTCCAGAACCTAGTGGAGTGGCAGGCAACATTTAATAAATGTTTCTTGAACCGAAATGGTTTATCTTTAAGAGAATCCAAAGGGGAGGTTTCCTGATCCCCAACCTAACACCGGAGGGAGTTGACGCTCCGAGAGCCGACCCGCCCAGGTTCACCAGGCTGGCGCCGTGATCTATCCCGAGGCTGGCTGGGTCACCTCCCCTGGGCGCCACCGCAGGCTGAGCGGGAGGCGTCGGTCGGGTCCTGCCTCCCCGGTGCCAGCGTCTCCTCACCCCGGGCGCCCGGCCGCGCTACCTGGAGCACACAGTCCGATTGCAGCAGACAGGCGCCCAGGTCCTCCTTCACGCCCGCGCACGCGCCGCCCTCCGGCTTGTCCTCGTAATAACGCGGCATGACTGCGTCCCCGCCCCAGCAGCCGAGAGCCGCTGGCGTCCGCAGCGGCAGCAACCCCTGCGGGGCGCAACGGCCACCCGCGGAGGGAAGGAACCGGAACTTGCAGCCACAACTTCCGGCGGGCCCCCGGAAAACTACGGGGCCCGAGAGGCCGCGCGCACGGCGGAAGTGGGTGCACGTGACGCGCCGCGCCCCCTGCGCTGGCTACGTTGCGGGAAGGGAAGTCGGCCCGGCGCCTGCTGGGTCTGGCTGCTGGCCGGAGGTGGTGGCGGGCTAGCTTGGACCTCTTGGAGGCCGCAGGGCGGCTCCAGGTGAGACCCGAGGACTGCTCCGTGCGCGCGCGGCTCGGGCTCGCCGGCGCCTTTTCCTCCGGCCCTTCAGGGCGCGCCGGCCCTCGGCCCCGGAGTGACCGTAGCCGCGTCCGGCTGCTCGGCCTGCGGTAGGGTTGCCAGATAAATAAGCCAACGACGCCCATTAACGCTTAAATTTCACATGAACGACCGACGGCGTTTCCGTGTATGTCCCACCCAATGTTTCGGACAGTCTTCTACTGAAAGTTATACTTGTATCTGAGATTGATTCGAATGTAACTGGGCGTCCTGTGTTTTCATCTGCTAAGTATGGCGACCTTCCCCGCAGCCCCGGGGTGACGGGGAGCCTCTGTAGCCGGCGAGGCGCCGTGGGCGACCGGGAGGCCGGGGGGCGGGGGGGGGGGCGGGGCGGGAACTGGGCGGCCGGCCTGTGAGGGCTGGACGGTGAGCTGCGCTCCCCGGGCTCCAGGCTGGGTCCACCGGCCTCCCACGCTGCCGTTCCCTCTGCTGAACTATTCACGGAGCAATGCACTATGGGCTTGAATTTTGTTTTTATATCATACTCCAGTGAAAGAGTTGCTTGGTGGTCTTGCACTGATGGACCCATGTGAATATGCCATTATTTTACCTCGTCGGTAACATTGTTTCTAATTGGCTTTTAAAACCGATTCCCTTAAAGGCCTGATGGTTTAGAGCACGGGAGTTTTGGCTCCATAGTCCTCTCTGTGCTCCTGAGGGGGTCCCTTCACCTCCCAGTGCTTTTCTTTCCGTCTCCCTCTCCTCCCTCCCTGTGGCTACCAGTGACTACTAGGGGGAGCTTCCCCAGGCTTGAGAGAGGTGAAGCGTGGGAAACCTACAGACCCTGTAGACGTGCTGTGAGGGTTCGGAAGGGTGTGGCGCTGCCCTTGCCTGACGCGCAGCCGACAGTTCTTGAGCCCCCAGATAAGCCTCAGAACCACCTCCATTAGCTTTTGACCCCTGACATTTACCAAGGATTGGGGCGGAAATGTAGGATGGCATCCCTCCTGAATATCTCAGAAGAGGATACAAGAGGATATCCTTGTAAAAGATTTTTTTTTTTTTCTTCCATCTAGGAAGATGTTACCGAGTACTTCAGTGAATTCCCTAGTGCAGGGGAACGGAGTGTTGAATTCCAGAGATGCAGCAAGACACACGGCTGGAGCAAAACGCTACAAATACCTGAGAAGACTTTTTCGTTTTCGGCAGATGGACTTTGAGTTTGCTGCATGGCAGATGCTCTACCTATTTACTTCCCCACAGAGAGTTTACAGAAATTTTCATTACCGAAAGCAGACAAAGGATCAGTGGGCCAGAGATGACCCTGCTTTCTTGGTCCTCTTAAGTATTTGGCTCTGTGGTAAGTGTTAGTTTTTCTGTAATAGAGTTGAAGAACAGACTGGTTTGTTTTTGTTTTTTTTTAAAGATTGTATTTATTTATTAGAGGATGCAGGGAAAGGGGCAGAGGGAAAAGGAGAAGCAGGCTCCCCACTGAGCAGGGAGCCCAACAGGGGGCTCTATCCCAAGACCCAAGGTCATGGCCTGAGCCGAAGGCAGACACTTAATCAACTGAGCCACCCTGGTGCCCCGAAACTTAGTGTTTTAGATTGTACTTGTCGTTTGCAAAATCTTTTGTTATAAACATATTGTGGGTCAGGATTTAGGATATTTGAAGCTGTTTCTTCTTTTCTGAAGCCTCAAAAATCTCACAGGAAAGAGTGTTGTTTTTTCTGGTTTCGGAGGTCCCAGGCAGATGCCAGAGTAAATTGTTTCTTCGGAACATGGAAAAGCAAAAGATAGAGTCACTCCGTGTCTTTTAACTGCTATGATAAAGAAGTTGATACCAAATGCAGACTTACTGTGAAAAGGACTATCAAGATGGGAAATTGCATTTCATGGGCAAATCTAGAGTGATAGTGCTAAAAGTACCAGTGCAAACTTGTGAAACTACTTTTAAATTCTCCAATAATGTAGTGAGAGAGTCCTAACCATCTTTAGGGTATTAAATGTATGAGATTTTTTTCACCTTTACCTGGGCTTAAATATGTGACTGCCTTTTCAGAACCTGTCCTGAATTTATCACACAAATCTTTCTTTCAGTGTCCACTATAGGATTTGGTTTTGTTCTGGACATGGGATTTTTTGAAACGATAAAGCTTCTCCTTTGGGTTGTATTCATAGATTGTGTAGGCGTTGGTCTTCTCATATCAACTTTAATGTGGTAAGTATCATAATTTTGATTTTTCAAGTCCTGCTGTAGAGCCTGCATTTGCTTCCTTTAGAGATACAGTAGCTGATGTGCCCTGAAAGCATGAGTTTAAATTTTTTTTTATTATTGAAATATAGTTGACACAATGTTACATTAGTTCCAGGTGTACAACATAGAGATTTGAGATGTATATACATTATGATATGCTCACCAAGATAAGTGTAGTTACCATTTGTCACCTTACAGTGTTGTTATAAAATTGACAGTATTCCCTATGCTGTACTTTTTATCTCTGTGTCTGATTTATTTTATAACTAGAAGTTTGTATCTCTTAATCCCCTCCACCTATACCACCCATTCCTTAAACTCTCCTCTTCTCTACCAGTTTGTTCTCTATATTTATGAACCGGTTTGTTTTTTGTTCATTTTGTTTTTTAGACCCACATATAAGTGAAATGATATAGTGTTTGTCTTTTTGTCTTTCCTGACTTATCTTGCATATCATTATACCCTCTAGGTCCATCTATGTTGTCACTAATAGTAAGATCTCATTGTTTTTTATGACTGAGTGATATTCCTGTGTGTGTGTGTGTGGTGTGTGTATGTGTATACACCCTGTTTCTTCTTTATTCCTTCAACTATTGATGAATACTTCAGTTGCTTCTATATCTTGATCATTGTAAATAATGTTGCGATGGACATTGGGGTGCATATAGCTTTTCAAATTAGTGTTTTTATTTTCTTTGAATAAATACCCAGTACTGGTTCTGTTTTTAATTTTTTGATGAACTGCCATACTGTTTTCCACAGTGGTTGCTCCAGATTACATTCCCACCAGCAGTGCACAAGGGTTCCCTTTTCTGCACATCCTTGTCAACACTAGTTATTTCTTGTCTTTTCAATACTAGCTGTTATGACAGGTGTAAGGTGATATCCCATTGTACTTTTGATTTGCATTTCCCTGATGCTAAGTAATGCTGAGCATTACTTTTCATGTATCTGTTGGCTTTTTGACTGTGTTCTTTTAAAAAAAAACCTATTCGGGTCATCTGTCCATTTTTTATTTGGATTTTTTTTCTTTATTGTTGAATTGTATAGTTCTTAATATATTTGGGATACTAGCCCCTTATCAGATATATCATTTGCAAATCCTTTCTCCTATCCACTGGATTGCTTTTTTATTTTGTCTGTGATTTTCTTTGTTGTGCAAAGCTCTTTATTTTGGTTTAGTCCCAGTAGTTTATTTTTGCTTTTGTTTCCCTTGCCTGAGGAGATAAATCCATAAGAATGTTGCTGAGGCCAATATCCAAAAAATTACTGTTTATATTTTCTTTAGGAGCATTGTGGCTTCATTTCTCATATTTATCTTTAATCCATTTTGAATTTCTTTTTCTGTATGATGTAAGAAAATGGTCCATTTTCATTCTTTTGCATGTAATTGTCCAGGTTTTTTCACACTATTTATTGATGAGACTGTCTTCCCCACTGTATATGTTTTTCTCCTTTGTCATAGGTTAATTGTCCATGTGTTAGTTTGTTTTTTGGGTCTATATCCGGTTCCATTGATCTGTCTGGTTTTGTTTTTGTTTTTTGTTTTTGTTTTTAGAGAGAGAGAATGAGAGCAAGCGGGAGTAGGGGTGCAGAGGAGGGGGGAGAGAGAGAATCTTAAGCAGGCTCCATGCCTAGCATGAAGTCTGACAGGGGACTTGATCTCATGACTCTGAGATCATGACCTGAGCCAAAATCAAGAGTCAGACACTTAACCAACTGAGCCACCCAAGCACCCCCAATCTGTTTTTGTGCCAGTACTATACAGTTTTAATTACTGTAGCTTTGTAGTATATATTGATATCTGGATTGTGATACCTCTAGCTTTGTTTCTCTTTCTCAAGATTGCGTTGGCTATTTGGGGTCTTTTGTGGTTCCATACAAATTATAGAATTCTTTAATTCTCTAAAAAATATTATTGGTGTATTGATAGAAATTGTATTGAATCTGTAGATCACTTTGAGTAGTATGGACATTTTAACAATATTGATTCTTCCAATCCACAATCATGGAGTATCTTTCCACGTGTGTGTCCTCTTCAATTTCTTTCATTAGTGTCTTACAGTTTTTAGAGTATAGGGTTTTTATCTCCTTGGTTAAATTTCTTCCTAGGTATTTTTTTGGTGCAATTATAAATGGGGTTATTTTCTTAGTTTCTCTTTCTACTGCTTCATTATTAGTGTACAGAAGCACAAGAGATTTCTGTATATTTTGTGTCCTGTAACTTCACTGAATTTATTGATTAGTTCTAATAGTTTTTTGGTGGAGTCTTCCAGGCTTTCTATATATAGTATCATATATCTGCAAATAGAAACATTTGTACTTCTTCCTTACTGATTTGCATGCTTTTATTTTTCTTGTCTGATTGCTTTGGCTAGGACTTCCAGTACTATGTTGAATAAAAGTGGTGAGAATGTATGTTCTTGTTTTGTTCCTGATCCTAAAAGAAAAGCTTTCAGCCTTTCACCATTAAGTATGATGTTAGCTGTGGGTTTGTCATTTATAGCCTTCGTTATATTAGGTACATTATCTCTCAACCCATTTTGTTGGTAGCTTTATCATGAACTAATGTTGAATTTTGTTAGATGCTTTTTCTGCATCTATTGAGATGATCATGATTTTCATCTTCCATTTTGTTAACATGTATCACATTAAATGATTTGCACATAATTGAACCATCCTTGCATCCCTAGAATAAATCCCACTTCAAGTGGAATATCCTTTTAATGTATTACTGAATTTGGTTTGCTAATACTTTGTTGAGTATTTTTGGATCTTTGTACATCAAGGATATTAGCCTATAGTTTGCCTATTTTGTAATGTCTTTGTCTGATTTTGGTACCAGGGTAATGATTTCCTGGTAGAACTGATTTGAAAAATATCCTTTCTCTTTGTTTTTTTTTGCAGTAGTTTCAGAAGAATAGGTGTTAACTCTGCTGTAGATGTTTGGTAGAATTCACCTCTGAAACCATCTGGTCCTGGACTCTTGTTTTTTTGGGAGTATTTTGATTACCAATTCAAATCCATTACTTACAATAATACATTTTTTTCAGACTTTGTATTCCTGATTCAGTTTTGGAAGGTTGTATATTTCTACAAATTTATCCTTTTTTTTTTTTGGCTGTCTAATTTGTTGGCATATATTTTTTCACAATAATCTCTTGTAATCCTTTGTATTTCTCTGGTGTCAGTTGTTACTTCTCTTTCATTTCTGATTTTACTTATTTGGGTTCTGTCTCCTTTTTGATGACTCTGGCTGAATGTTTTATCAATTTTGTTTATTTTTTCAAAGAACAAGTTCTTGGTTTCGTTGATCTTTTCTATTGTTTTTTCAGTTCCTGTTTCATTTCTTTCTACTCCAGTTTTTATTACTTCCTTCTTCTGTTATGTTTAGGTTCTGCTTGTTCTTTGCCCATACCTTTAGGTTTAAAGTTAGATGGTTTATTTGAAATTTTTGTTCTTTCTTGAGGTATGCCTGTTAGAACATCCCTCTGGCAATTGCTTTTGCTGTGTCCCAAAGATTTTTGGAACATTGTTTCCATTTTCATTTGTCTCAGGAACTTTGTCTCTTTGGTTTTGTTGTTGTAGTTGATGATAATGACCTGTTATTTTAGTAAAAGGTTGTTTAGCCTGTGCATGTTTGTGGGATTTTTCCATTTTTTCTTGTAATGGATTTCTAGTTTCATACCATATGGTTGGAAAAAATGCTTGATGTGATTTCAGTCTTCCTAAATTTATTGAGATTTGTGTTCTGGTCTAAACTGTGGTCTGTTCTGGAGAATATGTCCTATGCACTTGAAAAGATTATGTATTCTGCTGGTTTTGGGGGGAATATTCTGTATATGTGTATCTAATATGTTGTCCTTCCTTACCGATTTTCTGTGTGGATGACCTATCCATTGATGTAAGCGGGGTATTAAAGTCCCCTATTTTGTGTTACTATCTATTTCTCTCTTTATGTCTGTTAGTATTTGCTTTATGTATTTCAGTATTCTCATAGTTGGGTGCATAGTTATTTATAATTGCTAAATTCCCTTGTTGGATGGAACCTTTTATCATTATGTAATGCTTTTATGTAACGCCTTGTTTTGTCTCTTGTTACAGTCTTTGTTTTAAAAGCTATTTTTGTGTGAAAGAAGTATTGCTTCCCTGGCCGGCCTGTCTGTCTTTTTTTTTTTTGGCTTCCATCTGCATAGAATATCTTTTTCCATCCCTTCATATTCAGTCTGTAGGAGTCTGTAGGTCTGAAGGTAGCCTTATTGTCAGCATATAGTTGAGTCTTGTTTTCTTATCCATTCAGTTACCCTGTCTTTTCTTTCTTTTTTTTTTTTTTTTTACATTTTTAATTCCTGTTAACATACAATATTACGCTGGTTTCAGGTGTACAAAAGAGTGATTCAGCACTTCCATACAACACCCTGTGCTCATCACAAGTGCGCTCTTTAATCCCCATCACCTCTTTTACCCAAGCCCCCCTTCCCCTCTCTGGTAACTATCAGTTCTCTATAATTAAGAGTTTTTTTCTTAATTTGTCTCTTCTTATATTGTTTCCTTTGCTTGTTTTGCTTCATAAATTCCACACAAGTGAAATCATATGTTGTCTTTCTCCGACCTATTTTGATTAGAATTATACTCTCTAGCTCCATCCATATTGTTGCAAATGACAAGATTTCTTTCTTTTTTATGGCTGAATAATAGTTCATTGTGTGTATGTGATCTCCTTTATCCATTCATCAATCCATGGACATTTGGGCTGCTTCCATATCTTGGCTGTTATAAATAATGCTTCTATAAACATAGGGGTGCATGTATCCCTTTGAATTAGTGTTCTTGTATTCTTTTGGTAAATACCCAATAATGCGATTGCTGGATCATAGGGCAGTTCATTTTTTAACTTTTTGAGGAACTTCCATACTGTCTTCCACAGTGGCTGCACTAGTTTACACTCCTACCAACAATGCAGA